GATACCATTTTCTTCCTGCCACTTTCGGGTGTTTCTAGCAGTGTGATACGGTGCTCCATCTTCCTGGAACAACGTTGTGTCCACGAAACCCGAGGAATAAAGTGGTAAGAGTCCTTCCTCCAATATTTCGACGTATTTCGCAAAATTTATGTTGCCAACGCACTCCATTAAGCTCGATCTCCCACCAACCCAAACAGCTCCCCAAACCATCACGCTGAAACCACCATGCTTCACAGTTGACTGCAATTTGTTGAGCCAAAACTCTTGGTGAGGCATTCTCCAGACCCATATCCTTCCACTGTCCGAAAATTGAGCGAATCTTGATTCGTTTGAGAACAATACGGTCTTCCAAAAGTCCAGAGGCTTGGTCATCATATCACTTGCCCACTTCTTTCGTCTGATTATGTTGGCAGGTCTTAATAAGGGCTTCCATCTAGCTGCTCTGCAACGATAACCCAATCTGTGGAGAATCCGTTGAACAGATTTCGGGTTCATCCCACCAACTTTGGCCACTTCTGCAGTCGTTAATCTGGGATCCATTTCGATGCTCCTCTTGACAGTCCTTTTTGTCCTCTCCGATGGACCAGGACGACCCGGATGCTGCTCAGTTGTTTCCTTGCCGTGTTTCCTGAACTGCACGATGATTCTGTTGACTGTCGAAAGCGGGATTCTCAAATTCTGCGAAATTTGCCGCTGACTTATTCCACCATCTGCTTGACCAACTATCCTTCCTCTAACAAAATTTGACAATTCGAGAGAACCTTGAGTTCTAGGCATGTTGAAGCACATGATAATTAGTGTGCGGACCATTTTCATTTATATAGTGCTCTTTGAACACAAATTAGTTAGCATAAATCAGTTAAATGGCGAAAAATTAGGTGTCTATTTACTTGTGACCACTCAGCGTATATCTGAATATGTTGTATTAAAACCATTTTTTTTACTTAATGTTATGTATAATCTTTTCAAGGTATGTTAGTGAAAATGACCAAAATATTTTTTTTCTAAACAAATCTATCAAATTCTGTGAAGTAGCTGTAAAGTTGTACTAATTCATTATTATTATAATATAACCCCTAACTTCTAGAGCCTAAAACAATAATCCCACACTCTCATAAGTATACATAGAAATTATTTGTTAATAAACCGGAAGAAAAATGAAACTATTTACTAAACAATTCTGAAGACTACTCAAGTTGTCCCCCCCCCCATTCTTCTCGTATCTTCATAATCTGTTTTATATGCATGTCCATGTGTTATAAAGGCTTGTCAGTAATTATATTGATCAAAAGATATCAAGAAATAAAAATATTCAGCTTTTTTTTGTTTGTGTGAAAATTATGTTGTTATTTAAGATAAATACTGCGCTGTGCAAAATACCGATAAAGAAACAAAACTCTTCTGAGGAAGTGACAAGGAAAGTTTTTATTTCACGCTTGAGTTCTTACAGACCAATTTTTATCTTAATTAAGTGCACACTGTTTCAATGTTTTCAACACAGCTTGTAGCAAAAAAAGAAAGTATACGTTTTTTCAAGGAAAATGCTCGAACTGAAAGAGAGGCGGAGTTTGCCTTTATAAAGTGCTGCCATCTACAGTCAAAAATCGCTAATATAGAGCCTGGAATACTGCGCTAATGGCTGAGTTAACGGTAACAATACCTTGGGTGGTGATTGTGAAGTTTTGTGTTAAAACTAGCTTTTATACAAAAACAAATATTCTCGGTTTAGTTCCCGGGAAAATGAAAGAATCGTGAACCTTAAAGACATTAAAATACAAATAATAAGTATATAATGTCAAAATAGATTTATAGTGAAGCCATGGAGAACAACAACAACAAAGTCCTGCATTTCAACAAACAAAATAATAATATAGTTTTATAAGTGCAGAAAATATTTATGTTTTGAGTTCTGTAATAATAAGAGAAAATTACAATCCACAAAACATTCGTTCCATTAAGTGTTTTTTCTTGTGTTTTTCAGTAATAATAGTTTATGAAATAATTTGCATTCTATACTCTAACACAAAGACACCAGAAACAAAACAATATGGTATAATACAGTAAATATTCCACTGAAGTATACATTCACTAACTTTCCCTAAAACATATGGGTTGAAATACAAATAAAGCAGTCTTAATAATTTTTTCTGTGATTTTAAAAAGCTGAAATACACTTAATACATTGTGATCATTATGTGACAAACTAGAGATTAACCGTGATGTCTAATATTTACAGCGTTGTTTCTCTAAATAAATGCATGTTAAGAATGTGGAATACTACAAGTGACAGGTCCTTAACATGGCTTGTACTTATATGTGAGTACTGCTAATAAACCATTTTTGAACTCGTCTGTGCTTTCCGCTTTGAACTAACTCATGGTTTCCTGTTTATGAGTACCGCTAATGACTAATCTTTGAATTGATTTGTAATTTCCTGTTTATGAGTACCGCTAATGACTAATCTCTGAACTGACTTGTAAGTTCCTGTTTGTGAGTACCGCTAATGACTAATCTTCGAACTGGCTTGTAATTTCCTGTTTGTAAATACCGCTAATGACTAATATTTGAATTGACTTGTACATTTCGGTTTGTGAGTGCCGCTAATGACTAATCTATGAACTGACTTGTAAGTTCCTGTTTGTGAGTACCGCTAATGACTAATCTTTGAACTGACTTGTAAGTTCCTGTTTGTGAGTAGCGCTAATGACTAATCTTTGAACTGACGTGTAATATCCGTTTGTAAGTATCACTAATGACTAATATTTGAATTGACTTGTACATTTCGGTTTGTGAGTGCCGCTAATGACTAATCTTTGAACTGACTTGTAAGTTCCTGTTTATGAGTACCGCTAATGACTAATCTTTGAACTGACTTGTAAGTTCCTGTTTATGAGTACCGATAATGACTAATCTTTGAACTGACTTGTAAGTTCCTGTTTGTGAGTATCACTAATGACTAATCTTTGAACTGACGTGTAATATCCTGTTTGTGAGTACCGTTAATGAGTAATCTTTGAACTGACGTGTAATATCCTGTTTGTAAGTATCACTAATGACTAATATTTGAATTGACTTGTACATTTCGGTTTGTGAGTACTGCTAACGAATTTGTTTGTTTTCTCTTATAATGAAATCTATAAATTTGAAAACAGAATCTCACGAGTTTATATAGTTTGTTTTTTGTGCAAATTATAGAGGATAAAGAAGTTTCACAAATAAAAGTCACAAAAGTATTTGTGAATGGCATGTGTTTCTTTAGTTTATTTTTCGTGTTCGGCAGAGTTAGCTGATTACGGATATATCTACAATTCATCAAGTGTGTATAAAAACTGAACTCTTACTAAAGTTTTCAGGTGTAAATATCAGATCTCGGAAATTGTGTTTTTATTTTGCTTAACCTCTTCAATAACCCACCCATCAGGATGACTGTGTAACGTCGAAACATGTAGAGTCGTCAACTTTTTGAAGGCCATAGATAGGCCTAAATAAAATGTTTT